TTCTTTCTTTCTTTCTTTCTTTCTTTCTTTCTTTCTTTCTTTCTTTCACTTGTAATCCAGTTCAACACCTTACGTGTGTTTGACCTTTGAACCCTGGCTCTGCAGGCATGGGCTGTGTTTAAGGGCAAGTTTAAAGAGGGGGACAAGGCTGAGCCTGCGACCTGGAAGACCAGACTCCGCTGTGCGCTCAACAAAAGTCCTGACTTTGAGGAAGTGAGTGAGAGGTCACAGCTGGACATCTCTGAGCCCTACAAAGTGTACCGGATTGTACCCGAAGAAGAGCAGAAGCGTGAGTGTCTGTATATAGCCTATATATGTGTGTGTACTGGTCCAGTGTAGAACAGAACCACAAGTTGCTTTTCTTTGTCCTGCAGATGGGAAAAGTCCAGTGATGCCCATGACAGCTGCCACCAGCTCCAATGATCTGACGGACATGGACTGCAGCCCTGCAGAAATAGAGGAGTTTATGAAAGAGGTGAGATCTCCACAGTCGTGTCTGTTTCGCGATGCTCTTCTCTTTTTTTTCTCACCTCTCAGCTTCAGTGTCGCCTTTCTATGTCACTGTTACACTGTGTTGACACCTTCAGCACTTGTTGCACTGTCAGTCTTCAGCGCAGTGTTTGTTTGTGTTGCAGGAGGAGGGCTGCAGCATCCAGACAAGTCCAGAGTCTTGGTCCCAGGGTAGCATCAACGGTAAAAGAAACTTTTCAACCAGTTTCTAACATTTCTCTTCAGATTCGTTTAACTTTTGCACTTCAGTGCTCTAGTCTGCACACGTCTCTGCTTTCTCAACCTATATGTTTTTTCCTGTATTTCTGAGACATTAGCTTTGAGTAACCCCAATGGAAAGCTTTTAACCGCTTGTCTCTGCTGCTGTGGGTGATGATAGAGGCTATTTGCTTGTCTGTTGAATTCTGAAATGGAACAATTGACTAATATCCTGTTTAACTTTGCTGACTAAAGTGATTATTTCTTTGTAAATCGTGCTAGAGACATGTTCTTTCTGATGATGCAGCAAAGCTATGACACGACACTCAGACTGTGTACAAACTAACCTCTTCTGTCAATTGCAGCTTTCCCACTGCATCAAGAGCCGATGCCATCAGGCACCTCCAGTTCAGGTATTTATCCACAAAAGCATCTAAGAAGATTTTCCCTTACGTGTGTTTTTAAATCTCACCCATGTTCTGTTTTCTAGCTTTTTCTCAGATGATGATCAGTTTTTACTATGGAGGCAAGCTGATGCACAACACCCTGGTGACCCACCCTGAGGGCTGCAGGATTTCCCCACAGCAGCACCCGGGTCGTGGCGCCCTCTATAATTCGGACAGCATGCAGAACGTTCATTTCCCCCCGGCTGATCTCATTGAGTACGACCGGCAGCGCTATGTCACACGGAAGCTGCTGGGCCACCTGGAGCGAGGGGTGTTGGTGCGGGCGAACCAGGAGGGGATCTTCATCAAGCGACTGTGCCAGAGTCGTGTCTTCTGGAGTGGACTCAGCGACGGGAGCTCCCAGTACAGCTCCGTGCCTGGCAAACTTGAGAGGGATGCTGTGGTCAAGCTATTTGATGCTGGAAGGTTTTGTCAAGGTGAGGCTCAAATGTGTTTTGGTGGGTTTTGAAAGGATTAAAAATCAGAGGTTAGAGCTCTCATTTGTGTTGTTTCTCAGCTCTGCAGCTGTATCAGGAGTGTCAGATCCCGGCCCCTGACCCCACAGTCACTCTGTGTTTTGGAGAGGAGCTCAACGATCTCAGCAGCGCCAAGAGCAAGCTGATCATTGTGCAGGTAAGAGCAGTCCCGTCAGAACTCAGACAGACGAGCTGTTCATGCTGTAGGCCTTCTTTTGTTTAAAACACACCCTTCTCGTTCCCCTTTCAATGACAGATCACTATGGTGAACTGCCAACACATGCTGGAAACGGTGAACACGCGCCGCTCTCAGGCTTACAGCAACAACCCAAACGTGGGGATGTGCGACGACATGGCCACCGAGCAGATGGCCCGGATCTACCAGGACTTGTGCAGCTACAGCGTTCCCCAGAGGTCAGCCTGCTACAGGGACAACATGTCCATCGCCGTCTGAGTAGACTGCAGTCCTTCTGGACGGACCATACAACACATCTGGATTCCTCTGATGTACACTGACAGTAAAACTATGGTTGAAGATAAGAACGCGACGATCCTTTTGTCTGACAGTGGGACTTTTATTAGGCTCCTTATCAAATCTGTGAGCATCTTTTCGCTCGAGAGTCGTGTAAATTTTTGTGTCAAGACAAAGAGAACAGATGTTTATCCTCTTTTTTATCATCAGAAGATTTGTATATCACAAAGAAGTCAGATCAAATATATTAGCAACAACAATAAAAATATTAATAATAATAAAGTCTCATTGCAGTCTGACAGCAAATATCTAGTTCAGTTCTCACACTAGATCGTTTTCTTTTTTAGCATTTGCAGCTTAGTTGATTCTTTGTGTAGAAAAAGTCAGCAAGTTCATATTTTTCACATGTTGCTGTTTTCTACAGAAAACAAACATATTTTTATACAAATTGACAAAAATTGCACAACCTGCAATAAGATGTTAATGTACGGATAGGTTTTACTATCACACTGTATGGCATTCTTTTGTAAAGTGTTTTTTTTTTTTTTTTTCAAATAAAACTTTTTATTGAATTTCACCTGCATTTGTCTCAATACAGTTATAAAGTTGTTTTAAGTGCTCTATAAATAAAATGGTATGGTATATAGAGTTTTGACAAATTCAGAAATACTAGTTTCTTTCAGCTGCTTGCTTTTTCAGGGGTCGCCACAGCGAGCGAACTCGCATGAAAGATTTGTCAATTGTTTTGCACCGGCTGTCCTTCCTGACGCAACCTGAGCTCGAACCCACAGCCTCAGGATAACAGGACCATAACACTGACCACTGAGCTACCGCAGCCCCCTAATAATTCAAATTACTGTAAACAACAAGGGAAAATTTTAGGTATAGTGACACAGGTGGGTTTTTGTTTAAAGTGTAAAATTACACAGTTAAAATATTGAACATATTTCAAGTCACATATCAATTCAATTCAAAAATGCTTTATTAATCCCAAAGGGAAATTATTTGTTGTTGTAACTCACAGATGTGTTGCATTTTTTTTCCAAACATATACAGACCTGATGAAATTATCCAGCGTATTTCCTGTCTACCCTGAATGCTTGAATGATTTTTGTTGGTGTTTGTGTTTTGACTGATTTATAATGCTGTTAAGCTTTTTTAACACTGGGATCCTTAAATGTCTATTTTTTTACACGATGAATTTCAAATTCATTGAATTCAAAGTTCCAAACAATATCTTGACTCTTAATTCTAATTTGAAATAGACAACAGCGCACGTGATTTAAACAGAGCTTGGCTGCATAAAATGCAAACGTCGGCAGATTGAAAGATGTTACAACTTTCACTTTTAAAATGAAATAAAACTACCGTAATATTTTATCTGTGATGGAAAGTGCTAAATTAAAAAAACAAGCCAACAAACAAACAAACAAACAAAAAAACTCAGTTAATGTTATTTGGTGAAAAAACTCACCTTACTAACCCAGACAGTTTCATAATAGTAACAATAAATGGTTTTCTTTCTTTTTTTTTTGTTTTTTTACAACAGCAACACCAATTATTTTTCAGGAACTACTCTACATCTGAGATGGCCATTTACAATAACCCATACAGTAGAGTGATTCAACTGGCGGCCCACGGGCCGGTCACCCAGTATTACAACTGGTAATGACTTGAGTTAGTGGCTTCAGTAAGTGTGGCCCCTGAGCAGTTTAGTTGAATCGCCCTGACACTTTGATTTTACAGTGATGAAACTAAAACAACGTTTGAAAGTAAAAGAAGGATGTAGACAGGGAAGCTCTCGGACAATAACCCCCCACCCCCAAACACACACACGCACGCACGCACGCACGCACACACACACACACACACACACACACATGACTAATAGAGAAAGGACAGGAGCAGAGGTGACCAACTGGGCCTGAATGATTCAATGATTCACAGTGAGACACTGACATCTTGTCCTTCCTCCTCCTCTCCTGTTTCTCACCCAGCTGTTGAAGGAGGAACATAACATCTGTATCTCAAACATTCAGTGCACACAGACAGAGGCCATGTTGGAAGGGAAGTGAACAACATGGCTTTATGTAGATGCTCTCACACAGCCACACAGACTCGGATACAGAAAAAAGGTTTTCTTAATTCAGAAGACGTTTCGTTAACTTGTGATCATTTCCTGGAAACTCATGTTAACATAACTTACCCTTGATTCAATTCAATTCAATTCAATTCAAAAATACTTTATTAATCCCAGAGGGAACTTAAGTGTTTTCGTAGCTCATCATCTTGGTTTCGTTCAAGAGTTGTTATAGATGCTGAGCTGTGGGCAGGAAGGATCTCCTGCAGTGAATTCAAAGAATCTGGCCATAGATACTGATCCATCCAACTGGATCCAGATTGCTGTCAGATCTGGTGGGCCTCTCGGTCCTCCTGGGTAACAGAACTGACCGACTGCTGGGTAGAATTCCTTCCTGAGCGATGGTCACTCCTCCCAGCAGTCTGCCGAGCTTCTCGACACCACGGACAGCCAGCTTACGGTGTTGGGGGATGATCCTGGTCCTCCCGTTGTCAAAAGCTGAGTTTCTCACCAGCTCCATGATCTTGGTGGTCAGGTACTCGAGCACAGCTGCCAGGTTGATGGAAATTCAACCATGGTGCCTCCTTTTCTACTCCTTTGGGGCTGTAGCTGATGTATTTGAGCTTTTGATATGTTAATCAGATGCTCCTGGTTGTTAAAAAAAACACCTTGTCGCCATGGTTACGCAGCATAACAAATGCCCAAAAGTAGAAAGGTTTCTATAAAAATCCTTCCAGCTGCACAGCATCCAACAGAAGAGGAAGCAACCATCCGAAAAAAAAAAGATCCACATACAGAAAAAAGAGGAATCAAAGTTTCCAAAAGCAATAACACAGAATGAAAGTCACAGAGCCGCTCCAACATGCATCCACCCCGAGCGGCGCAATTCTAGAACTCCATTCAAAAATCCATTTTTGATTTAAAGGGTTCTTGTTTATCTTGTCAAAAAGTGATTGACTGCTGCAGGGTAGTAAACATTCAAACTGTGTGTGTGTTTGGTATTAGAATATCTTTAACAAGTAAAAGTTAACCCACGATTCATCATTTACATCATTTTGGATAAGACCAAACATTACTGGGGGTTTGATTAATTTAGTGAAAATAGAAAACATTATGTTGTCAAACAAATAATTCTAAATAATTTTGGGGGGACTTCATCATCGAATGTGACCACATTTTTCAGCTTTTGGACTATTCTGAAAAAATAGCAGCAGCAGAAACATGACCGTATCCTCGTGGTCTTTGACTAACAGTAGTACAATTTCCACCTGCACCCTGCTGTCACCAGCACAGGTGGTGGTCTTTGGTAACCCGGGTCTCAACCAATCCAGTATGGTGTTGCTTAGATGAACTCACATATTAGTTTTGGCAAGTGTTTTACATCGAATGCTCTTCCTGACACTGACCACTTACCCGGGCTCGGGACAAGAAATGCACTGGCTTGTGCTGCCCAGTGGCTGGTTCGCATGTTAGACTGATTGGTAGCTCTAAATTGTTCCTAGGTGTGAGTGAGAAAGTGAATGATTGTTTGTCTCGTTTGTCTCTATATGTCCCTGTGATGGACTGAAGACCTGTCCAAGGCGTCCCCCATCTCTCACCTGGTGACAGCTGGAAATGAGCACCAGTGACCCCCATGACCTGAAAAGGAAGAAACGGGTAAACATGATGGATAAATAGATTGCAATCCAATTACTATACTTTAGAAACAAATACAAAAAGTATTGATTTCTTACAGAGTCAGAGTCAGAGATTATTCATTGTCGTTCGTACCACATGTGGTACATGTGGTGGAACGAAATTATGTACACAGGGTCCCTGTTACATCCAACAATAAAATGTAAAACAAAAACAATGATAAGATCTAAGATATGAACTAAGAAAAACATCAACTAAAAATACACTAAGCACTAATAGCATAAAAGTATTACGTCGAACAGCAGCACGAGCACGAGCATGAATCTGTGTGAACAGATGAGCACGCATGAACACATCAACATGAAACAGATCAGCAGCAACATGATGTGATTTTTCACAGAGATTGTCCTGATTAGAGATTCATGAGTCTAACAGCCTCAGGGTAGAAGCTGTTCCTCAGTCTAGTGGTTCTACACTTAATGCTCCTTAACCTCCTTCCTGAGGGGAGTGGGGCAAAAAGTGTGTGTGCTGGGTGAGTGGGGTCCTTCATGATGCAGGTGGCCCTCTTCCTGCATCTGGAGGTGTAGATGTCTGTGATGGTGGGGAGACTGACTCCAACAGTCTTCTGTGCAGCCTTCACCACTCTCTGCAAAGCTTTTCTTTCTGCAGCTGTGCAGCCTCCATGCCACACGTTGATGCTTCCTCACTTACACTCACTTACAATGAGTATTGTAACATTTTTGCATATTTTTGACTAGACTTGGAACTGCATTTTTATTTAATTCTCAATGTGACATACTGATTTTTGATTAATTGATAAAATACTGGAATTTCAGACAATAATCTGTTGTTTTTAAACCATATGTGGAAGTGGTGGAGCAGAGTTTAGAAGTTGTTGATTTTTTACACAAAACCCATGTTAAAGACAAAACGTGTTGTCCTTAATGTTTGTGTGTTAAAAATCACTACATATTGCTTTGGGCCTTTCTGATCTGAGGGTGTTGATTTAAAAGGCAGCTTGAGTTTCATTGAAGACTTCTGAAAGTCTTCAGTTTAAAAAAAAAAACATTTTGAAAGAAAAAGACAAAATGAAAAATATTTCAAAACCCAAGAAAAATAATTTCCATTGCTTTCAACTGAAGTAAACAGAATTACCAAGAATCTATTACAGCACTTCTGACACCCATTTTTATTTAATACAGCGAATAAACTTCAACTTGGCAGAAGAAATCACATAATGTCTGTAATCTATACTTAATCATCTCTT